ATTATTATTATTACTTTCATTTGTTTAATCCTAAATTCCATTGTCTATGTTGTTCAGCTTGAACGGGGTTTACATGGCGTTGAGCCTGTGGTTGTTGCCAACTTTCCAACAAAGAAGTTCAATGATGAGCGCTTCTGTGGTACAGAAGATGCTCAGTATGTTCTCAAAACCTTATTCTATTGCATATACTTGTGTTTGTTTCGGAAGACTTGTAGTATTTGCAAGTTGTAGTAGATTTTCTTTTTATCTATTTTTCCTTTTGCCCTTTCATGGTGGAATCATGTTTTTACGTTGAAGAGTGGTAGGTGGTATATGTACTAATTTCTCTAAGTTATTTTTTTACTAAAATGAGAAATATGGTGCTAGTTGGGTGATCAAATAAAAATTTGTTGGCCTCCATGTTTTTAGCATGCATATTACAGGTCCTGCAAATCCAATAAATTTTAGGTTTTGGACTAAGTGTGGTGTATCATTTGTTGGAAATTGTATTTTCTTGAGTATATGATTGCAAATTGATATATCTTCTTGGCCTTTTGTCTGAGTAGAAGGGTGATCTCTAATGATTACTCTGATAAGGTGGCTTAATGGTATTGGTACCTGGTTCTGTAGGAATTTGATCGTTGAAATGAAATCCCTACTGGTGGAATTCTTGAATTAAAATGTTTGATAAAGTATGAGAGAAGAAGCAAAAGAATCAATGAGACATTTAATGCGGAATAACCTAAAGAGCATATAAGATTTGTATTCAATTGGATTCACTTGTGTACATTTGGTGTTTTAAGATACATTCTGGTGGAATCTTTAAAAGATAAAAGATAACAGTGCAAAAACCAAATAGCCTAGGATGTTGGTTCAAAAATGACTCTTCACTCTGTTACTAAAGCTCAAGGTGCTGATAATATGGACCATTTTTTTTTTCATATGGTAGTTTGAGAATGGTCATATTTTCTTTGGAAGGATGATCACTGCCTGGCATAAAAGCAGAATAATCTAATGTGATGGCACTTTTTTAGAGAATAACCCATCTGTTCCTTTTCCTTTTCACTTCAATATGGTTGCATTCATCTTGTTTCTTTTCTCCTCATCTAACTAATGCAAATGTTAATTGTTATGTGGGCAGATGCACAGTTTGCCTTTCAGAATACCATGATGAAGACATATTGCGAATCCTCCCCTCCTGTGGGCATTCCTTCCATGTAGCCTGTATAGACAGATGGCTGCAACAGCATTCCACTTGCCCTGTATGCCGAATATCACTACGTCAATTTCCAGAGAGAAAGCGCTTGATGCAACCATTGTTTAGTTCAGCTATTCGATCTCATTATAGCAGAGGATCTTTTCATACACATTCTAATAACCGTTTGTTGAGGGGACATGGCTTTTCATCAAGGAACCATCACAGCCATGGGATGAACCCAGTTCAAGAAAACCATTTTGCTTCTGAGACTGATGGAGTGGAAGCGGGGCAGAATATTTGCCCCCCTGCAGAAGGTGATCAGGCGATGAAAGACCCAAGAAACAAGCAAGTGGAGAGCCCATCAAATCCCTGAACACCTTGGTTTCTTGGAATCGAAGGGCCTTCAACTGAGACATCCAGTTTATCAGAAACTTGTAAGACTGGCATACCTTGCAGAAGTTGGAACTCAAATTCTACCGGATCCCTGCCTTGAGCAGCCTATATGTACTCCTGTGACTTACTGTAAATATTGCAAAAGTGATTGCTTCTTAACAATTTCCTCTTTTTGATATTTTCTGGCTTCTGGGCACTCCTCTCAATGTGTCTGCATAGATAACTTCTTCTTTTTTCTTTTTTCTTTTTTTTGATAATATAGGTATCTAGTCCTTTTGTTCAATTAATACCCCCAGAGGGCTTCTTCTTCCTTGTTCTTTTTTCTTTTTTTGTGGAACTGACGTTAAAGGGCTTTTACAAACTATCTTATCCAGAGATATCAATCAAACCTCCATTTTAAAGAATGTCGGACATGTTTTATTAAAATTGTTTGGACGTAAATGGTTTGAGAGAGATTTGAACTTGAGGTGGAATAAATAAATAATAGTTCTTTCATTTTCAAATACCTCATTCCTAAGATCTAAACTTTAGAGTTTCAACTTAAGAGAAACATCAGAGATCCTGTTTAAGCATTGATGGTGCTGATTTGTCCACAACATTGCAGATTCAAAAGTATTTATGGTCTTTCTGTTTCAAGTATTCATTTGATACTGTAGTCAGCATTAGTTCAATGATGTGGCGCTTTCTCCACAACTAATGCTGCTCCTTTTTGGTTTCCAGCAGAAGCAGTTGTGCCTCCTATGCCATTGAAAAGCTAATGCTTATGTAGAAATCTTTAAGAAACAATCTCAAAAGGAAGAGACGAAACATGACAAGACAGAGAATTCACCTTTTTATCAACACATAAGGTGGGGATCTACTCAGAAAGTTGTCCCCCTCAATGCCCATTCTTGGTACATATAGAACTTGCCCAAATTTACCCCATTTACTCCACAAGCATAGAAAGAATTTGCCTTTCCAAGTCTTTTCTTCCCCTTTCAATCGGATTTTGATATAATGGTCAAAAATAGGGTAAAATGCATAGGTTCCCTCTGTTGTTTGGAGCAGGTGAGCTACAGATTCTAACATCTAGTTTTAGGGCTTGTTCGGTTAGAAGTAATTTTATTAAAAAAGTAATTAGAAATATATTATTTAGAAAATTGATAAGTATTATATGAAAAATTAATAAGTTTTATTGTGAGGTTTTGTTGAATTATTAATTTTTTTATATTTTGTAAAAATTGATGTAAAAAAATTAAGAAAATTATCAAGAGGATCATGTATGGTGAGATTTATAAGAAAAATTTTTACCTTCAAAAACTGTAAGAAAAATTTATGGATTGAAAATTATAAAAAAGAAAATAAGGACTAAAAATATCATTTTTGTTCTTTTTTTGTTGTAATCTTAATGTATGAAAATTCATAAATAATTTTATAAGAATAGAAGTTCATAAAAGTTTTAACAGTTCCTTAGTTTTACTTCTTCAAATTACTCAAAATCATCTTAAAGATGGTCATCTTTGAAATAGGATTGAAACTCTTAAATCATTAAAACAATTCTTCTTAAAGGTAAATTATTTCAATTGAAGTTTCTTTTCAACGATACAACTACTTCGTTTTTCATGGTATACTTCAATCAAATAGCTTGAACTAAAAAAAATGTGTTATTTGTTATTGATCTAAATAGTTTAGTAATAATTTCTTTTTAATAAAAATTAAAAGTATTGAGTTTAAATCATATAATATGCAGATGAAATATATTAAAGAATAAGAGAGATCGAATTGCTTTTCATTATGCAACTCAAAACATGAAAAAAATATATATCATTTAATGCAGATGCTTTGTATGCTTAAATTGGGATTTTACTATACAATTGTATGCTTAATTTATGGTGCAGTACATGGGTAGCAACATACCAATTAATTAATACTACTAATGTCTATGATTCTTTAAAACTAAATCAATACTATGAGCAATTAAGTATAAATCTTGAACTAAATTTTGGATGCTTTAATTGATTAAACCGTACATGACCTACAGCTGTCATGAGCCATGACTCCTGCATACTGGTCCTCCACCATAATTTTAAAAGTGGCCCTCCTCCTCAATAGGTCTAGTAAAAAGCTTGTGATTTCTCTATCAACTTGAATTTTTCTGATTGGCAGTCTCTATCAACTAGAAAATGATAGACAAAGAAAACCCTTCACGCGAACCGGGCCTGAGGCCCAATAGTTCGCCTCCAAATTTTAAGATTTGGGTGAGGTAGAGATCAAGGTTTCGAGTTTTGCTACCGTCATAAACTCCATCAACTTGCAGTTTAATGGCCGCGCGCCTCATTTGAGGGGGTGAAATGTTCACAATTCTGGGAATCTCAGTTACTAACACCTAACTCATACTAACTTCTTAACCATTACCCTTGTAAAAAAAAAAAAAAAAGAAAGAAAGAAAGAAAGAAGAAAACCCCTTCACCGTCAATCACATGGCACAACCGTATTGGCATGGATGTCCACCACTGCCTCCCACTTAAAAGCGCGAGTAGAGTAATATAGCCCTATTATCTCTAAAGGGGAAATATACATTTGTAAGTGGATCATAAATTTTGAAAAATATATGCATTTACTTTACCTTTTTTCAATAACCAACTGCTACTAGATTTATATATCATAATTAAATCTATTTATATTACTAATATTATTCTTAATTCCTTTTTAATTTTAAAGTTCTTTTTAAAAATATTATATTACTAGTTTGAATTAATGACTTATCTTATTATTATTCAGGTATCCAATAATTATGAGAAAGAAAAAGGTGAAAATGGTATTTAAACTTATGTACTTTTTTAAATACTTAAAATCAATCCTCCAAATACTTAAAATCCATTACTTTTATAGTAAAATAAATTAATCTATATACTTTTTAATTGAAATAAATTAATCAAAATCTAATAAATGGCATCATGAAACGTCAATTTATCATGAAACCTAACTATTTGACATTTGAGACCCAATTTAATGACATGCTATTTACTAACATAATGTGAACTATTTTTTTTTTTCTCATATGGCCCTTAAATTGCTGACCTGGATTAATTAATTCCCCTAAAAATAACCAAATTCGTTGGCTTAAAATTGGACATCTAGGATTTTTTCCTTTGTGAAATCCATTTTCAACTTCAAAATGTCAATTTCATCTTCTCATTCAATGAGGCTACCAAACAATTGATGAACATAGATCCACACAGCGTCGGTGCAAGGCCCCACATAATAACATGTCTGAGAAGATGAAATTGACATTTTAAAGTTGAAATCAACTCTTGGCATTCTTTGTCGTGGTTTATTGGTAACCACTTTAGATCAATAGAATTGTCGATGAATTGTATTTCTAATTAATGATTGAACTTTATAAAATATAAAATTCTAACCTAACTTCTAATTTCTAATTTCTTATCATTATTCCTGTCAAAAAAAAGAAGAAAGAATCTGTTAGCTCTCTCCCCTCTTCCCTAACCCCCCATAAACCTTTGATATTAAAAGTGAGCAAGATCACGAGGGTATGGAATTTACGTTCTTACCCGCATCACTTGTTTGCTCCAAAACTTGTCTTCTCGTATCCCAATCACTTTCATCTAATTGCACAATTCTCTAAATCAAATCTTGCTCACCACTCTTTAGAACAACACCCAATTCCTTGGCAAATCCCCACATGTCTTGCACATCCCCACATGTCTTGCACATCCCTTAACTCATCCTTTTGTGTACCACTTCAATTGTAATTTTTGATGCCGCTATCATCGATAGAATCATCTACCACCTTCATTTCTCGGTTTGATGCAAAGCTCACCCTTTGCTCCCTATACTTCTTCTTCATCGTTGCTTTTCCTTTCCCTCTAAAATTAATCGTAGTAGATTCAATTGGTGCAGAAATCCTGTATACTGAAGCGCATGATTTGCTCTCCTTCTTCTTTTCTTTTGGTTGTGTCTCAATTTTCTACCCATCCATTCTTCTAACTACCCAGAATCACTCTCCATCTCCTTGCGAAAGGCCATCGGATCAAGCTCTTCATTTGATTCCTTTGAAAGTGCTCTATCCACCCGGCCCTCAATCTCTTCTAACAACAAAAACAGATTGTGAATGAGAAGATGAAATTGACATTTTGAAGTTGAAAATGGATTTCATAGAGGAGAAATCCCTAGATCCCCAAATTAGTTCAAGTCATCAATTGAAGGCCATCTCAGAATAAAAAAAAACAGTTCACATCATGTTAATAAATATCAGGTCACTAAATCAGATCTCACATGCACCAGAGTCAGTAATGTATTAACAATAAATGGTTGAGTTTTACAGTAAATTAATGTTTCATAAGGTCACTTATTAGATTTAAATTAATTTATTTTAATGGAAAAATAAATGAATTGGTTTATTTTAACATAAAATTGTGGGGTTCAAGTATTTAAAAAAAAGTTGGAGAGTTAATCTCAAATGTATAGAAAAACACATGAGTTTAAATATCCTTTTCACCAAAGAAAAAACTCAAATTCTTTATCTGAAGGGCTCGTTTCACAGAACTTAATTAAGAAAATACAACTTTTTAACATTTAAAGTATTTATAAGTATTTTCTTTTTTGAAAGTAAATTTCACCTATTTTTTATGGAAAAATT